TAAGCTATTAAATTAAAACGAGGTGCATGTGGGCAGCAGTCCCCACTCCCCCGAGTGTGAGTGTTGTTTGGAGCAAATAGCTTGTTTCATAGTTTGTAAAATGCAGTTGGCAGGGGTTCAGTGTTATTCTAGGAAATCCGTGTAGGCAAGATTTCTTTCTTGTAATATAGCACTATCAGGAATATGGAGAGTGATTCTGATTTTATTTTTATTTTTTTAAAAGGCAAACAGACAAAACATCTGTAGGCTATGTCACCAAGTCTTGACTTTTCTTTTGAAAAGCAGTTCGCCTCTAAAATCAAAATCACCCATAAAACAATTCCATCTGAAACAAGACACTCTGAAGCATTCTCTTAGAGCTTACTCATGATGGGAGTTTTATCTGCTTTTTTACTCCCAAATTAAATGCTGCAAGAACATAGACCTTACCTCTCTTATCTTTTTTCACCAGTAATATCAATCTATCTTTGCAGATGTCTATCAGAAGGATTTTAAGTTAGCAAGATTTGGGGACTTAATTTGGTCTGAGTGGGAGTTGAGAATAATTCCCAAGGCTTTTTCACCCAACTGCAACTATTTAGGAGAGGCTTGGGGGCCAACGTGACTGTCAGATCCAAAATGCAATTTTACAGGGGGAGGAAAGAGGAAATGGAGATTTGTTAGGCTGCTTTTCTTGACTCAGATTGCAAAGTCTCTCTTCCAGTCCCTCTTGGAGGAGTTGCTCTGGTTTGAACAAGTAAGGACACAGTTACTGGGTCAGAGATAGATGGATTACAACAGAGCCAAATCATCCTCTGAGGTCGCAGGGGCTGGGATAGAAGCTTATGCTCATCTTGGGACTCCCAACTTGTGTTTGCCATATTCCAGAGCATTCACTCTCCTGGGAACTTTTCCCTCCTTTTCCCTCCTTTTGATGGATGAAACAAATAAATCCAACATCTCAGGCTCTTTCATTAGGTGGGAAAATCATTTCCTCTCCAGCTTCCAGTATGCTCAAAATGCTTGGCCCTGCTGCCCTTCATCTCTTGGTCCAGCCACACAGCAGGACTAACACAGCCCTGTGGGCTATTTATATCTTGTTTAAGCCAACACTGGGGAACAAAACGATGCACAATCCTGGCTGAGCCTCTCTGCTGCATACACGTTTTACCCTTCCTTGACAAGATTTAATCTGCTCAGGGTTAACTATGTAGCAGATGTCCAAGACCTTTGAATCACACCTTAAAAAGACTGAAAGACCAAACCCATAATTGGAAGAGCAGAATCTCTGATTCACTGCAAACCATTTGTTATCAGCAATTAAGTTTCTTGCTGATAAATGATTCATTACTTGAAAGCCCAGATTACTCACTTTTAACCATGGCAGAAATTCCTGTGTGATTATGAATGCCTGGGCTACGCATCTACTGCGACAGGCTGGGGAGTCTGAATGTGTGAAATGACCAACCATTTAAATACAGAAAATAAGACCTCTTACATATATTTTTCATTCACAGTTTGTAAAAAATAACAACATATTTCAATTTCAACGTGACTGATGTGAATATAAACATAAACTGACTTCACTAACACTTTAAATACCATTTTTTGCTTTACTGGAGGCAACAGAACTAAAACAGTGTGACTGACCAGACCTGGCCTACTAATTAAAAAGGCTTGAAAGCAAAATTCTGAGCTCCTGGTACACTCTAGTTCACAGTAACTAAGGCTTTTGTCAGCCATTTGATGTAATCATGTATGGTGTTCAAAACTGTATTTTTCAAAAACCATTCAGACCATAAACCAGATGAGTCATGACCCTGTAACAGAAGGTAAATTATTCTCAAATATTTTATATTTGTGCATTAACACATGCACAACACATTTTTTCTTTAGCCAAGAAAAAATGAATGCCCAAGTCCAAGAAGCAACTGACAAAAGACTGAAGGGAAAAAATGAGAATTCTTAATTTTATTATGGTGTAACCAGCTGTAAGGAATTACTGGTCTGAAGCACAGTGTGCAATTGTCTTATCCTAAACATTTACTAAAGCCTGTAATTCAGAATGATCCTGACTAGTGAAGTCACCATTGGCAAGCTATCATTTTTTCCTTTCTTATTTTTGAAAAAGTCTACATTTCTCACCAATTAGCACAAACATAGGCACAGCCTATGCATAGAAATGCTCAACATTTTCTGGAGGCTGTATTTCGTTAGTGCCTGCTGCTTTGACTCTGAGATCAAAAGAGGCAGCAAGTTCTGGAGTGATCATACTTGATAGTTTGCTAAAAGCAGAAGAATTCCTGTTTGAGATCAAATGACATCAATATGTATTGTTTCCTAAATGCAGAGTGCAGTGCCTGCTACTTATGTGAGGATAGCTTGAAATAAAGAATTATCATGATCCTCTGCAAAGGTGCTATACACAACATAAGTAACTGTGCTAATTGAAAGGAAAAAAAAGCAGAGTAAGAGTCTTCATAAATTAAGCTACTTTTACACTATGATATTATGTACTATCAGGCAGCTGATTTTTTTGGGTGAAGAGGCTCATCAGGTGCCTATTAAGAGAAGATACTTGGCACAGCTCATGGCCATTCCAATTGATGTTATGGTTAACAAGCTGGCCACCATACAAGGCCAATCAGGCTACTGGTATTGCACAATAGTCACTAATGGCTTCAGCAGCTTAACGGTGCCAAACATACAGTGTCATTAATTGGGCAAGAGAGAGAAGGAAAAAACACCCAGGGAGGAGGCGAGATGCCATTCACCTCCTGAGCAGCCCCTCAGCACAGCCTGTGGATCCCAACTGGAAGAAAATGAGATGGGCAGGCTGAGGAGCAAGGGGAACGTTTCAGACCCAGGTGACAGCTCTCTGCTGTGAGAAGCTGTTGGTGTCCCCTGGAGTGCCAGGGCAGAGGAGTCTGACCCTCACACAGCACACAGTGTGACCCTCACACAGGACAGTGTGACCCTCACACAGCACAGTGTGACCCTCACACAGGACACAGTGTGACCCTCACACAGCACACAGTGTGACCCTCACACAGCACAGTGTGACCCTCACACAGCTGCAGTGTGACCCTCACACAGGACAGTGTGACCCTCACACAGGACACAGTGTGACCCTCACACAGCACAGTGTGACCCTCACACAGGACACAGTGTGACCCTCACACAGCACACAGTGTGACCCTCACACAGCACAGTGTGACCCTCACACAGGACAGTGTGACCCTCACACAGGACAGTGTGACCCTCACACAGCACACAGTGTGACCCTCACACAGCACACAGTGTGACCCTCACAGAGCACAGTGTGACCCTCACACAGCACACAGTGTGACCCTCACACAGCACACAGTGTGACCCTCACACAGCACAGAGTGACCCCCACACAGCACACAGTGTGACCCTCACAGAGCACACAGTGTGACCCTCAAACAGCACACAGTGTGACCCTCAAACAGCTGCAGTGTGACCCTCACACAGCACAGTGTGACCCTCACACAGCACAGTGTGACCCTCACACAGCACACAGTGTGACCCTCACACAGCTGCAGTGTGACCCTCACACAGCACAGTGTGACCCTCACACAGCACACAGTGTGACCCTCACAGAGCACAGTGTGACCCTCACACAGCACACAGTGTGACCCTCACACAGCACAGAGTGACCCCCACACAGCACACAGTGTGACCCTCACACAGCACAGAGTGACCCCCACACAGGACACAGTGTGACCCTCACAGAGCACACAGTGTGACCCTCACACAGCACAGTGTGACCCTCACAGAGCACACAGTGTGACCCTCACACAGCACACAGTGTGACCCTCACAGAGCACACAGTGTGACCCTCAAACAGCACACAGTGTGACCCTCACACAGCTGCAGTGTGACCCTCACACAGCACAGTGTGATCCTCACACAGCTGCACTGTGACCCTCACACAGCTGCAGTGTGACCCTCACACAGCACACAGTGTGACCCTCACACAGCACAGTGTGACCCTCACAGAGTACACAGTGTGACCCTCACACAGCACAGTGTGACCCTCACAGAGTACACAGTGTGACCCTCACACAGCACAGTGTGACCCTCACACAGCACAGTGTGACCCTCACACAGCTGCAGTGACCCTCACACAGCACAGTGTGACCCTCACACAGCACACAGTGTGACCCTCACACAGCACAGTGTGACCCTCACACAGCACACAGTGTGACCCTCACACAGCACACAGTGTGACCCTCACAGAGTACAGTGTGACCCTCACACAGCACAGTGTGACCCTCACAGAGCACACAGTGTGACCCTCACAGAGTACACAGTGTGACCCTCACACAGCACAGTGTGACCCTCACACAGCACACAGCTGCAGTCAGTGTGACCCTCACACACCTGCAGTGCTGCCCAGCATTCCCAAGGCCACGGGCTGTTGGAACTCATCCCGCGTGCTCCAGCTCTTCCTAAGCCACCACCAGCTGTGGTCACTCACCCAGTGGGGAAGGAGCTGAACAAGGCTGATTAATGATAAAAATATTTGTCCTTTTAAAAATTTATTTTTCGTTCAAAGTGAATCACAACTTCCTGCCCCTCCCTCTCCCCTCCTGTGAAGACAGAAGTACCAGATCAACTTTTTTTTTTGTTTAAGCATCAGAAGTGTAACACATTTCAACTGCTGCTGATACAGGTTTTACAGTGATGACTGTCAGAGAGAGATTGTGCAACTCCTTAAGGAGCAAAAAGGAAAAATCCCTCCTACAAATGCAGATAACTTTTGGAATGTAAACAGGTAACACACACAAATGCTGCATTACCAGAAGTATTATGCATTTCTCAAAACAGTTGAACATAACACTTTACAACACATATTTGGTATGACTCAGTCATAACTTGAAGGGAAACTGTGTACCCTATAAGAATAACTATGTACCCCTATAAGATAGTCATTCCTGCCAAAACTTAGAGATACATTGACAGTATTGATGCCAAAGAAGAAGGGTTTAGTCTGATTGAACCCATGCTCTGCTGATTTTTAATGTGGGGCTTAATTCACTCAATACATTTTATAAAGGTATGTAAACAGTTCTGATTTAAGGACCAGAGAGTTTTAAATTAAATTAACAGATCTGGACTGGTCAATGTTAATGTCTTCATTAACTCAGATACCTTATTTATCCCTGAGCACCTTAAAATTGTTGCCCCCAAATCTCAGTCAAGAACACATAACTATTTCACAAGAATGAAAAACTTCATTTGAATAAATCTGTGTCTTATAAATCCCATTTTCCTGCGCTGATTTAAACACAACATAACAAAACAAACCCAAACCAAACCGTGTCCCCTCCCCTTTGTTTTATACATGTACTGCAATACCGGAACAAAAATTTCACCCTAACAAACAACATCACCTACAGACACACTACAGACTACAAAAATATTGCATAGGAGTGTCAGTGGGCATAGTCTCCCAACATGAGAGAAAATGCTAAGTTTTCTTTAAAACATTATGGCAACATTCTAATTTATTTTCCTTTTAAAAATCAAGTGGTTTCACTTTATTTCAAAATTGTACAAAATGGCCATGGCTGTTTATAAAAAAAAAAGTCTCTGTCTTGAGAATATGTGAAGTCTCAGGTGCATCAACAAAAGACCTGGAACCATTCACAGTGCAGCGGAAAGCTCCTTTTGAGGCAGAAACTACAATTCATCCTTCTTCTTTCCTACTCTTTCATGATCTCTTTCTCTCAGGGTTCGCATGAAAGTGGTGAATCCAGACTCCTGGTTTTGAAGGAAGAAAAATATGGGTCATATTTTTACCAACAAAGCAAAACAATGCATCAAGAACACTTTGAGCTTCTGTATCCCAGCAGAATATAAACTAAGGAGCAGTTGTTTAGTTTCTGTAGCCCACGGCAGAATAGAAACCAGGGAGCAGTTACTGCTTCTGCACTGCCTCATCCTGCCACACTCTGGTCCTGTGCTGCTCCACTGCAGGGGGAAAATATCCATGCACATCCCACATGTCAAACTTTGAAGAGATGGGACACAGAGAAAAAGTCCCTAAAACTCATAGGACAAGGTAAAATCTGTCACTAGAAGTGCCATTGATGCCTTTACGTCGAAAATACTCAAAAGACATTTTCAAGCTGTCTTTGTATGCTATTTGAGTCATTTTAAAAGCAGTTACTGGATTGTCTGTTGACTATACACACATTTGTCACTCATCCTCTAATAGTTTTCATCACAATGATGGAAATCACTTTTTCCCCCCCCAAGTTACTATTTAAATTATTATCAAAAATTTCAAACCTGGCTGTCTAGATGCCAACCTCTGTATTTTAACAACTTATGATTTAAGGCTGTTGAATGCCACCAGTTTCCTTTTCCAAGGCAAGCTGTGAACACAGCTCTCAGGCATTTCAAAAGGCTCAAATGGGTGGAGGTGTGAACACCTGTGTTGGAATACACTGTCTACTGGTACTCCAAAACTGAAGTTTTCTGGGAAAGTGACACTGCTCCCACTCAATCTGACCATTTTTGCATTTAAACAATCACAGAACATACCACTCAAAACTGGTAATGAAGAGGGAAAATACCAAAGGTAGAGAGCAACTAACAGAAGTTAAAGACTTAAAAGAATGTTGTGGAACAACAAAACAAAATAAACCCAACCCAAACCACAAGGCTGGTAAGCTTTTAGAAGGCTGAACAACAAAGAGCTTTTCCAAAACTATTCGCTATTCTTCCACGGAAAATAAATGAAGTGACATGCTTCAGCCCTTTGTCACCTGGAGACATCTGGCAATCAGCAGCCCCCATGACAGGCTCTGTGCTAAGCACTGCCTCCAGCATTACCATGATAAGAGATAACAAACCCCAATTCAATGCTGCACAAGCAGAAGACGATAGGGTCCCCAGAGAGGTGGAAGGGGAACAAAGCAGCCATCAGCAGAGAGACCGGGATGTTCCTCTCGGGTAATTTTTACCCAAGAAAGGGTTGGCCGCATATAGGGGATTTGTTAGTCCACTTCTCAGCATATGGATAAATATCTCCTAACTCCTGTGGCCCCAGAGCACTCCTGTATTGGATATAAATTCTTTTGATCAGCCACGACAGATCCTTCCTTTTATATATCATTTCTCTAAGAATGGGTTAGAAATGCAAAAACTGCAGCTGAAATCTTACTTCAATTGTTGGCTGCTGCACCTATCTTTACTTTTGTGTAAAAAGTACTTTTAAGAAAAGATCCAGAATTGGAACTAAATACAGTATCCATAAAAACGGCTGGATCAGCACCATGAAATGGTAATTACTGGAGTCCAAGTAGGTTGAAAAAAACTGGGAGGCGAAGCTCCATGAAGACTTCCCCAAGATCCTGACTAACAGAGAACCTCAGAACCTGGCTTTTTAATTCATGCTTCTATACAATTTTCTGAGCTCTAACAGCAGCAATAACTTTCATGCAAGATCTTTTTCAAAATCACTGCATGGCTCAAAGACCCCAAGTTTTTCTTGCAGACCCCAGGCAATCAGTGGCTGCTGAGGAGTAACCTCCCTCTAGGAGGTTACGACAAAGGCAGCCCACAAATAATTGAATTGCTTCCTTATTTTCAGGAACTTTACAACCACTGAAGCCATTATGCCATTGCTGCCCCCATTTCTTGCACTCATAGCATATAATTAGCTGGCCACAGCAGGACAAAAGAATGAAACTTCAGCCCAGGGGTAGATGGCACAATTTGTCTTCCCATCCTGAGTGCCAGGAGTGAATCTGATTCAGGGCAAATGAGATATTTACTTTCCTCTAGTCTCCAAAGGACAGCTTTGCCCTGGCTATAAAACCAATGGTCTGTCACCATTTGGCAGCCTGGTGGATCTGTAACACGTTTGCAGTGTCCATGCGATCCAGAACTGACAGGAGTTAAACCCTGTATTTTCTGGCATTTCTGCCAGCAGCACATGCAATAAACCCTTCCCTTTCACTCAGTCCAAATTCACTCACAGACTTCAGCTTAAAGAATAAAATATACAAAGCATATTACCAAATCTAATCCTTTTTCCTCTTCTCATGCTCCTAAAAATAGACCAAGAGTGTTCCTAATGCAGAGATGTACAGGGGTGTGGTACACTATGATTCATCCATGTAAGACAGCAACAGAGGCATGGTAAAAATTCACTCTGCAGTTTTCATTTGCAAGGCAGGACAGGCAGAGGGGGCTTTGCTCCCTGTACCAGGTGATGACTCTTGCTTTCACTTACCCCCCGATCTCCAGTATATTTTTCCACAAATTTCCCGTAGTTGTAATAGTTGAAGGTGGGGTAGCCATCGACCCCCTCCTGCTTACACAGGTCATGATTCTGTCCTTTGGCACAGTCCACTGCAGCGTAGGCAATCTGAAACACAAGAGATCACACTGAGGCAGGAGAGAACAAAGCAAGAACCCATTTCATGGTGATGCTGCTGCAGCTTAGCCTTAGCACTGAGAGAGACCCAAGTCTTCTGCCAAACATGCAATGGCTTCTGTAAGGGCTTAGCTGTGGAGAGAGAGCAGAGGATGGTCATCTCCTGGCCTGTGCATGGCAGGTTCAACTCACAGAGCAGAAATCACCTTTGCAGCCTTCCCACTGAGCTCTGCATTAGACTCCAAACAGGAAATCCAGAGGCTGGGTTAATAAAACCAAATGCAGGCACACTGGTTACAGCTCTGTCATGCTGCAATATTTTTCCTCCACTTTTTTTAAGTGATGAATTTTAAGTGATGAACAGTGACAGTGGCTTTGGTGATAGTAATGACCCACCTAACCCATCCTCATTCCCATGGCATTGCTAATGCTTGGAAAAGTTACCAAACATGGCTGGTCACTAATGCAGCCTGTTCACAGATTAATGATTTCTACTCCAAAAGCTTTTCTAAACTCCATGCAGTTCTTCCAAGGTCAGATGGGGATGGGTGAGAAGCCACAAAATCATCTACCAAGCACTGCATGTAGAGAAAGAGGTTCCTTGCTTACAATCTCAGCCTGGGTTTGTATTTCCTTTCCTGTCTTCTTCCAGGATTGTACATTATATGCAGCCATTAGCAAAGTGGGCTTTAATTCCTTTTTAAACCTCTAGATGCTACTGTCACACAGACAACCCCTGAGTAGGAGAGAGCCTGCCACACTTTCAGCCTATTGACAGTGGAGCAACACCCTCAGTCCCTGCCTGCTTCCACACAGGCACAGCAAGGAAACACAGCCTCACAGCCCCAGAGCAGCAGCTCGGAACATTCAATACTGACTCTGTGAAGTATTGAGAAGGGGCTGCCCTTAACAGTTCTGATGCTGAAACAAAATGTAATTCATAGGCTTCTACTCAAAGCAACTGAGCCCTGTGCTGTGATTTCTCCCTGACTGTTCCTGTGAGCAGCAGTTGGGGCTCTGCATGCAGGTGCTCACATAAGCTCTGCCTTCACAGCAAGCACATTAAAGTACAACCTATGTAAAGAAACCAAACAAATTCGTGGAATGACTTCTTGCAACTTTTTTGTGGGTTACAATTTATCAAGTAGCTAATTTCATAGCAGACACATCCTAATTTGAAATTTCCATTCCACAAGCCTCCTTCAAACAGCTGATCAAAATACCTTTTGCTTGCATGACTTTAGGGTTGCGGTTGAACTGTTCTTCCATAATTAAAAGATCACTTAATATTCCATAAAGCCCTCCTGTTTCATGGTGACACTGTCAAAATGGGAAAACCTGATCTCATTATCCTAGCAGTAATTAAAGAGATTGGCAAAGCCAACTTCAGTTAGTTTCCTTGTTTTGTTTAGGCTTTGAAAGGCTGACAAGACAATTCTCAGTATGATCTCGTTTGGTCTGTCTTCAAGTGGAATGTACTAGATAAAGTGAACAGGGTTCTTACCTGAAATATCTGGTTTCTGATTTTAAACAGGACTCTTGAAAGCTGCTAAAAACATGTATGATCCTATTTTTTTTTCTTTTTGTAAACACAAAGACTCCTACACATTCAGGGCCAATTTAAATGAAAGATTAGGAATAATAAACTGTAGAACAGTTTCATCTAAGTATTTCTGCCTTCCTGACCTCATCAGCCAGCCAAAATTTAGAGCTCTGTTGGCTACTTCTGTGTAAAGAAAAGCTTAGAATGGAGACAAACTTTTATTTCATGACACAGCATGAAGTAGAAAGAGTACCAGAAGTCCTGATTTCCTAAAAACTAGAAGAATAAGTAAAATAATCTTTTTTCTCACTGCTCTAAAATCACACAGGGAGAGATTACAGCCAGAAAAAGGGGAAGGTATGCATGTGCTCATCCAGATCTTAGTAGCTGGTTTGAGACATTCAACTGTTGTGACTGATGACCCATCTGTTCTCAGTGTCTTGGAGATTAAAAAAAATGAGTTTTTAGTACACTGGAAGGAAGAGGGAAGAAGGAAAAGCAACTCTCTTTATCTGTACCTCTGGAAATATCTAAACTGGTACCGGCTGAAGCAAAGTGTCCAATCTAACTTACAAAAGGATTTGAACAGCCCGCAGTGAGGAGAGGGTGCAGTGCAGGAATGCAATGCTGTAAGCCACTGTTAACCTTGTTCAGAACATCTCCACCTGCTGCCTCAGAACAGATGACTCAAGGACGTTGAAGAGGTGGCTTCTTTAACGTGGCTCAGAAGCCTCCTTGAGACACAGCTCTCCTCTACAGCACATGCAAACCTAAGCTGGCCCATCTGTGCCTTAGTTGTGCACACAAAGATCCCAGTCTAAGTCTGTCCATGGCAGCCACATGAGCCCAGTGCTGTGTCTAATCCAACAGGTCTAAGAGCACATCTGGAATAGCAGCTGGGGGATGTGTCCATGGCCTGTCCCCTCTGCAATGCTCCTAATGCAAGCTCCCACACAGCCCCACCACTGCAGCCAGCTTTTTGAGCCCAGCTCTTCAGAACACACAAGTTTGGTTATTTTTGCAGCCAGGGAGAGAAGAGGAACAGCGATTTTCAAAAGCCTTGTAACTCATAGAGACGTGAGCAAAATTTCATAGAGGAACATCTAATTCCCAAGGCTGTATCTGAGGCTGCATTCAATGCCTGCTGCCAACAGTGGCTGAGTAAGAGTACTTAGGAGAGCTTGAGTGATTACTTTAGAGTGGAAATGTTAAGGCAGCCTAAATATAGAGGTTGCTACCATCTCTGTGCACTCATTATCATAGCATCACAGTCCTAATTGTCTTGCCTGTCTCACAGCGGAAGATCAAATATAGTGCACTGAGAGAGGAGAAAAGTGATGCTGGAAAACACTTATAGCAAAACACACTTCTGGACTGAGGACCAATTCTCATCTCCATTCCATCAACTCCAGACAGCTGAACTCTCAGACTCACCAGAATTTCAGCAAATAGCACTGATGCCCTTTGCTTCTTTCTGTTTGTGTTTTCATGGGCTGTGAACACTGAGCTCCATTGCTGATAGAGAAGTGCTCTGTCACTCTGAATTCCTGCATGGCTCTACTGAAAGGCTGCATGTAAAAAGATGCAGAATCCTGGCCCAAGTGAGCAGTGATACACTGTAGGGAAAGTTTCCTCTCATTCTCAACTCTCTTAGCAACAGTCAGCTTTTCTGCTTCACTGGAAAAGGAAACTGAGTCAGGAAAAATAACAACCCAAAAAAACCTCTCTCAAAATGTGGTTAGAGACTTCTGGAGAATATGATCCTCATATTCAACTATCAGCAACAAGTTACAGAGAAGTGCACTGGAGAGCACAGGTTAGCAAGACCTACATGCTCTGACCTGCAAACTAAGTTTATTCAAGCAGAAACTGCAGACATATTAAGCATAAGACATCCGTAGTAGGTGTCCAAGAGCAAAGACACTTGGTATCACTTCTCACAAATTCCTGCTCATCAAGAGGGAAAAAACCCTCTAAAAATATGTGAGAGAAAGAAACTCTGCTAACACTGGTCTAACATTTATGAGTGTGTATATATATATATGTCCATTATGGAAAAATCCAGTGTAACAGCTTTCAGAAAGCAAGATTGATTTTAGGGAGATTTTGATTGTTAGGGCTAAAATTTAATTTCTTGAGCTTTCCTCTAACCAGAGGGGAAAATCTACTGAAAAAACATTTCAGGGAGAAAAAGCTGTGAGTGCTATATCTGCAACATGCACAAAACTCCACGGGATTATGGATTCTCTATAACCCAAAGCTCTGCTGCCTTAGATATTGACAACACATCATTATATACAAGTCCTTTCTCCAGAGCCAATGCTGTTCAGGTCTATCACCAGCCTGTTCAGGAGCTGTAGCAGGAATAGAAATGTTATCAAATGAAAAAATAATCAATGAGAGACTGTGGACCCTAAAGGAAGTTTCTTGAAGTATATCCAACTTCCTTACTTTTACAAGTAGTTCCATAACTGGTATGCACTCTATAATAATTAATAGTATTGGGTGAGTATGTACAGTAAAGCATAATAATGACAACAGCAACAACAGTAACCCACCAAATAAGTATGCATTTCTCCATAGTCAGGATAGGCTAATATGAGTCTAAAACATCTGGGGCTGGAAAATACCTTTACTTGAAAAAGAAATCCTACAACGTTTTGTGGTTGTACCAAAAAACTGGGAGCTTAACTACAGAGTTGCAAACTTAACTCAGCATGGCAATAGACTGTGAGCAGTGTATGAGCAGCTCTGAAGAGCTCTGAGGAAACAGAGCATGGCATATTTGTCAGATGAAGAGGACTGATCACAAAAGCTGAGCTGTTGCAAAAACCAGAACTTTTCATTTAGGTGCTTCAGTAGAAGTGGAGCTATGCCAAAAATATGACCACTGATCTCCAGGTGCCCCAACTGTAACAGAAGGGTGATGCCTTATTTTGTTACTAAGTGTTAGAAGGAAAATGAAGTACTGGCAGTATAATCTAATCATACATCAGAAATCACAGTTCCCTTCCAACAGATTTATGAAACAACTTTTTGCTTTAGAGGGATCTTACAGGTAAGAAACACAATTACATTGAGCAGTTCAAACAGATGTGTAGAAAATTGAAAGTGGGATCCCTTGACCTTCCAGGTAACTCCTCCTTTCTGTTCTTAAAGCTTTCTTTTTAACAGTTTGCCTCCCAGTCCCCACATGATGATCCAGTAAAAATAACCCCCTGCAATCCTAGCTGCTCTCCTGTTAAAATATGTACTGCCACACACTGGTTTATTGATTCAAGAAAATAAATCTCTGCTTGAGCTAATATTGACTTTTGTTATGAAAATTGAAGTGAATAGCTAACTGAATATTGATTTGAGAGAGGAACGATATTTGATAAGCTTAAAAAAAGTAAAAACAAAGTTGCAGCATGGAAATAAATGCTTCCAAACAACATTTTAAAAGTAGAATCAATTTCAGATGACAATTACCTGTTTACTAGTAAAAAAGTCTGTTGTTGCCAAATATCTTGAAAGCACCTGTAAGACAGATGTGCATTCTTCCCTATGATTGCTCCATAGGTTTCTATTTATATCACCTGTTCTGGATCCTAACAGCAGTTAGGGACTGGTCTGCTAAAGCTTGCTGCAATTCAGCTACTGCTCTCAAAGTGAAAGGCCTTGCAAATGGGAGATTCATTATGAGCTGCCCTGGTGTGGCATGGCATCATTACAGGAGGTGCAGTTCATCAGCTGCTCTCAAAGCAGGCCTATTTGCAAAGGGGACATCCATTAGTACAACATGATGTACAGTGCTAACATCACCATATTTAATGAGTCTAATTAAAAAGAAATTCAGTGCAGGCTTTTTAAGCAAACAGGGATCAAATTCCTTGCCAAACTAAAATATTATCTCATTTGGATAACTCTGTACAGTCATTTGGTTGGTATAATAATTTTAAACTGTGATTCACAATACACATTGGGGACCCACCAGTTTCAGTGCTGACTGACCCACTAACACCCAGCTCACCCCATTTGCTGCACCCTTTCCAGCAATTGCTGCCACAGCTGTTTCCGTGGGAACTCACTGGAACCCAGCTGTGGTGCTGGGATTTGGGTCAATGCATTTGTACAGGAACAGTCTCCTGTGAAAATGGGAAGATTGGTCAAAAAGCAGCTCCTTTGCAGGCCTGCCAGAGATTTGTTACTGAGAGGCCTTGAAGAGTCAAGAGCTTTCCTTCAGCAAATCCAAACTGGAACACCACAAATCAGTTCCTTCGAGCTGAGCTTTGGGATCAGCCAAAAGGCAGAATGCAGATTTTTTTAAAGATTTAGTTTTCAAGAGAGACTGTGGAGCAGTTACTGAACATGCCTTCCTGCTCTTCAATCTGTTCAGTTAAGTGACAACCCTCACATTTGCATTTTCTGATGTTCACTGGTCACTGCCAGAACTTGAGCTGTGGGGCACTGGCCATGGGCTCTTCCCTGGCAGCTGCATGCTACGGCCACAGCGCCCCAAGCTAAGAATGCTCCAGATGGCTTTTTTTTTTCCACCTTTTTTTCCCTTTTAAATAACTGAAACAATATGCTCACTGCCACTGGAGTAGCCTCTCCACTGATCTGGCCCTAGTGGCACTGAATTTATCCAGGAAGATGGAAAGACTGAAGGCTCTGGTTTGTGGGTCTCAGCCTGAGCCATGTTTTGAAGCAGCCACAGGATTGCCCCAGGCCAGCGAGCGGGCTGGGGATTCTGGCTAAAACCACCAGCAGTGATGTGGCCAATGAGAGCTGACATTTGGGGCCAATGTTCCAAGCAGTGCATTTTTAAACTCCAACTCCAGCAGTGCAGATGATGAAAAAGTACAGAGCATTACACACAGCCCCGGGGGAGAGGGGCTTCAGCGCCAAAACCAAGAGACACGTACTTAACAGCTTCAAGCTCTGCTCATCTTCAAAATTCCAATGTAAAGACTCAAAGTCTCCCAAAGGACACCTTTTAAGATACTATCTATAACCAATTCAAGACTGGAATGTTTTTGATTGTTCTTTGTCTTCTGCAGGATTAAATGTTTAATTAAAAGACCCTTCTTTTAAGAAGAAGATATATGCAAAAATACTGTTAAGTGAAAAACTTTCTCCAGGGGGGAAAAAAAAGGACACTATAGAAATGAAGTAGTGAAAAGAATCTGCTACTTAAAATGAAAATTAGTAATCTTGCCCTGTTTTTGAAAGAATAAATACTTCCTTTCTCTTAAGCAGTGATTTTACCAGTTTGAAACCCTACAGAAATACAAATTAGTTTGAAGGCTCAGTCCAGTTTGAAACATGGAAATATGGCCTGTGCTGCTTGTGGGAACAGTGATGTGCCCTTCTAAAGTCTAAAACAGGTTTGTTTTCTTTTCCACAATGGCACAAACTGGCAGCAGGAAGCACCTTGGCAGGTTATAGCTGTACACAATTAAACAGGGGCTCCCAACATAATCAATCCCTGGCACTTTCATAAGTCATTGGGGTGGAATAACACCATTCTCCCTAACTGCACACACCTCTTTAAAAGTGTACCAGCCTTAATATTCCCTACTGGCTCTCCTGTTCCAACTCATTACATTTTATATCTCCCCACTCCAGCCTTAAACTGAAGTCAAGAGTTGCAACCGTCAATCACTGCTCTGCTCCTGGAGTCCTTTCATAACCTGCACTCTGAAGGAAAAGCTTCCCAGGCCTGCACTTCCCACCACCACCCTCTACAACTAACTGTGGAATTATTCTGATTGCTTGTTAATACATCCTGGGGCTCTAATAAGCAAGTTCCACATTGTTTGGTACATTTGTTTCAGCTCCTCTGACTGAAATTTTAATGAGTTTAGGAAAGAGAAGCTTCGTTTGGAACTACCAGAAAAGTGGGAAAACAAGGATACTTTCTCAGAGATCTTGGAAACAAAGAAGTAACCAAAAGGCATCTGAGCAAACTAATTTACAGCAGTAGGAGAACTAAAAGCTGCATGCCTATGAATCTTCTGTGTGCCAGAGGGCAGAAGTGATGGACTAATTTATGCAGTCAGTGATACAAGAATGATTTGTTTCTTGTCAATCTGATGCATTCTCTGTGAGTTACAGAACAGATGAGAGGAAAAGAAAAAAATTACAAAAATTCTTCTGTTATGGAGTACAACTGTTAAGTTGTTAAGATGTTGTCCAAATGTCCCTTAAACACTGACAGGCTCAGGGCACTGATCAGCTCTCTAAGGAAGCTTGTTCCAGGGGACTGTTCACCTTCTTGGTGAAGAAGTGTCTCCTACTATACAGTCAGAACTTCCCCTGACACAGCTTTGAATTATTCCCCCATGTCCTATCACTGGATTCCAGGGAGAAGAGCTCAGCATGTCCCTCTCTGTTTCCCCTCCTGAGGAAGGTGTAGAGGGCAATTCCTATATTAAATTACCAAATCTTTTTCTTGCCACACCTAAACACAAAGCAATTGTGTAGGTGGAACGAATTCAGAGATTAGAATGAAATACTGAAAGATATCAAACAGGTTCCTAGCTAGTTATATGGTTAAATCCAGGGGCTCAAGTGTTTTTTTGGGTTTTTTTAAATCCTAGATCTCCATGTGCTCAGTGAAAAAGTGGTTCAGCTGATGCAAGGAAATTACCCAGTGTGATTCAGCCATTGAATGCATTTTCAAGGCTGAAGCATCAAGGTCGTAGAAGAGCATCCTGGGCTCAAGTCAGCCAATTTACAGAAATACATTTTATTTTGTAAAATGCAAGCAAGGAAGCAAGGATTAGTTAGTTATGTGATTGAGAGCCTCAGGACAATCACACAACTTGTGGTTTCTCTACATGCACCCCAACAGCTGATAAAAGTTGAAGGGGAATGGAGATTATACGAATTATATTTATTCAATCCCCCAATGAGAAAGAATTGTGTTTCATACAAAGACTTCAACATAAAAGACAGCAAATTAGGGAAAACAGAACAGGTTGGAAGTATAACTCAATTTGACCATAAAAGATAAAACCCCTGTGATGCAGATACATTTCTTTTAGTGTAACAGCAATTTTATCTACAAACCTATTACCTTATCAATAAGCAAAGCCTATAAAGTACAAAATACGGAAAATATTCTTAAATATCACAGAAAAAATTAACAGCAAGTTACCTTGCGATCTTCTTTGAAGACTTCAGCAGCAGTTGTGAAATGTGGAATGGCATTTTTACAGTGAGGACACCCTGTTTGACACAGGAAGAAAAAGACATCATAAACTTTAGTTGTAGGAAAGATACTGGGACAAACTCAAGACACAAGGTGAGTCAGTGGAAAATTTGAATTAAAAATCGCTCTAAACAGGAGCTCTCCAGTTCTGGAATGAGCAGGACAAAATGTGTGTCAGCTACACGAAAGTAAACACATGTTTAAGATCCCTGTGACTTCATGGAGTTTAGGTGTACGTTTACAGTTATGCAACATCCCATAATAGGGGCCTTTTCTCCATCACCAGCCCCCTAAGGGCACTTCCAGAGCACCAGCCACAGACACACCATTGCCCTGCTCTGCACCTCCTGGTATTGCCAGGTAGGTTTTTACTGCTGTTGCCACAGATACCAGCTAGATTTGGGCATGGGAATAAAGACAGCACAGCTGGGAACAGGAAGCTGGAAGGTGGAAAGGAAATTGCTGGGAGCATTTATAAGTATTTGAAAAAGGCCCGTGTTAAAGCCAAGCCATTGGGAACATAAGGGAGGGGAAGAGAAGCAAGTGCAATAGGCCAGACATCTTTCATGGATGGAGAGCAGATGTCCAGTCTCAGGTTAGGGTGGCTGCTGCTGGCTTTCCTGGAGACTTTCCTGCTGTTCACCACAGCTGGGCAACCCCTGAAGAGTTTTACAGACATTGCACACAGGAACCCCAGAGCTTTGTATGGGAGATGGGCTGATACTTCTTTGTACACTGCAGCACTGAATAAAAGGCCAGCTAATCCCTTGCTTAAATACACAATGATTTGACTCAAACATTTCAGAAGTCACGGAAGGGAAATTAGAACTGCTCTCTTGATTCAAGGTTCAGATATGAGTGCTCTCAATTCAGAAGCAATGTCTACAAATTTTTGTCTATGAATAATCTAAACTCCTCTCAAAACATCATTACTATACTAAGTAAGCCTTTGAAAAGGAAAGTACCTGCATATGTGTAACAAATTACTTTTTTTCAAACCCAGCACAAAGGTTGATCCCAAGCAAAGACTCAAGACACTATTTTTTGCTTAGATGCACATTAAGAGAGGAATGGACACACTTCAGTCAAGCCTGTGTAATGCTTGCAAAGGAGTCCATCTCGCTATTATTTCTGGGTAGGAACAGAAAAGTCCCAAATGAGTTGCTCAGAAGCAGCAATTACAGCTTATGCTACTGTTGTTTACCAGTATTTTACATGATGAACAAGTGTCTGTGTTACTTTAAAATCAGGAGTGAACAAATGCCCCCTTAGGAGACTTGCAGCCACCCTCCTAAGCTATGCTCACTCTTTCAGCTGAAAAATACTATCTCTTTCACAAGAAAAATAGTATCTATGCATATACAATGCACACTCCTTTCCACAAAGGAAAGGCTGAATACCCCTTCCACTTCACCAAAACATAACTTCACTGCTTACATGCACTGCTTTGAATTCTAGAGCATTTCTTTCTTCAGAATAGGATTCTGAAAGCACTGCAGTGACACACCTGTGTAAATACACTGAGAGTCTGTGCAGTAGCTAAGAATACCAGAAAGTCAAGGGGATGTTTCCTGGGAAACTGAGGCACTTCTGTAAATCCATCTTAATGGCTTCAAACTCTGTATGCAGCACGATGGCAGCTGTGTTTCAGTGGGAGACAGCACAGTGTTCTACAGCTTGCAAACTATTAACCTTGTTGTTCAGCACTTGCCTGGAAGAAAATGGTCATGAAAGAAAAGGAGGAGGAGGAAGAAGAGAAGAAAGAGGAGGAGGAGGCTAGTTTCAGGCTGCTCCCACGTCCATCAGCCCACTTTGGTGACCCATTTTCTCTCTTAGCACTTGCCTGGCCTGTCTGCCTGATACTGAAGAGCCTGCAGGTCAAGCCTGCATCTTAACGAATCTTGGTTAATTTCCTGTACTGTGGGGGGATTGCCTCGGTTGCCTTGTTAACACTGCTCTACACAAATAAATCAGAACTGGTGACGACATCTAAGAAGAATTTCAGAAACAAAAAATGGATAAAAATCAGGCACCTCTAAAACAGGAACACTTGTTCTTAACTACATGCTGCAGTTTTTCTGGAAAGCACTTCCAACTGTTACACTAAAACATAAAGGCTCTTAAAAACTTAAACCTTTCAGGTTCCCTTTTTTACTTGTGATCTTGAGCTTGAAATTTAGGTTTCACCCAAGAACATCTTGTAAACCCTCAATAAAAGATATTTCAGGACAGTAAGGCCTCTCTCAAAGCCCCTAGAGAAGTTGTAGCAGGCAAGAGCTCTTCATGAGCCACATTCCGCATGAAAATGGGAACACAAATAACAAGCATATTCTTCCACACAAAAATACCAAATCCAATACCAAATCATGAGAAGTTACCTTCATTTACCCATCTGAAGCTCCATCCCTCCTCCCTTCACTTCTCCCTTGGCCCAACCTCCTTTCTTTACTGCACTGTGCTCACAGAACTAAAACACAACCATATGGCTTTTGGCAGAGCTGCCTCCAAGTCCAGTAGGCATTTTGTTAGCCTTGGACATCCATCCACAGAACAGATGTGAATGCTACACTGAATTCCCAAGGAGTTTCAAGGAGTCACTGAAAAAGGGGGAAGGAGCACATCATATGGAACAGCAGAACTTCATCTGTTACAACTTAGAAGGATTGCCAAATGCAGCAAACATTTGGAAGTCACCCAACCCAGTCATTCTATTTAAAGCACACATGCCAAAAAAAATAAAAGCAGAGGTTGATGTCTTCATTTTGACAGACGGAAAACTTGTTCTCCCCATTCCCTCTTCACACCCACTATCACACGTTTATTTTAAGTGTTAACACTATCTTCTAGATTCGAAAGTGCAAGGAAAGGAAATGTACTGAGCACAGTACATGAGGATAGGAAGTGTGCAGCCTCCTTACAAAGGAATTTTCAGATGGGCTGCAATGGAAAGAGATTAAATTGGTGGCATACGAAGGTGTGGATAAGGTGTCAAGAACCAAAAGGTCCTGCCCCTTCTCAGTCACTATGGACTAAACAAATTGGAAAATTCATTTTAGTTTAATAATTTGGATCCCATGGTAAGCACACAGACTTCCTGCAAGGACAAGAAGTAGACTTTTTAACTGAGCAGCATTGAAAAGCAGCACTTCTGGGAGCAGAGCCCTCTAACACAGATGCAGGGCTTTGCTTTAACAATTTTCTTTTTTCATTTTTACAACAGTGTCAAATTTGATCTCAACAGGGTTAAGAGCAGATGTGAACTTAACAGTAATTTCCTGTGCCTGACTTGAGAAATGTGAAAAAACCTGCTCCTGAAATATCCAACCTTTCCACAGGATCCCAGTACTGGCACTGAAAACCTCTAATCATTCCTGCACATCTCAAGATAACTCCATTTCCTACTGCAGAAACACAGTTGCATCACCTGGTAGGAAAACAAGAGAACTTGACATCTCAGGCACGTGCAGTAGCATGTGCTGAGGCCATTCCCTGCTCACAATCAGCAAACAATACAGCTTCAATAGACCTCTAGTCAGGCACTCAGCTCTGTGCTCAGAATTTGGCTCTGTGGAGGACTCCCCATACAGTCCCTGGTGGCATCTGCTCCCCCTGACCTGCTGGGGCACAGGGGCTGCCTGCTTAAATCACAGGTCCCAAACAGCTGCAGCTGAGGAGTTCTGAAGTTCTCTTTGCCCTTGTACTACAAATTTTAAAATGTACACAAACCCAGTATTTTCTACAAGGTTTTTCTCCACCATTCATGTTGTAAAGTTGGTAGGAGATGTGGTACAGTCACAGCAGGCACCATCACATTCCTCACCTTGAAAACCAAGTAGTTCTCAACTGAGCCAGTACATGAGAAATATGGTTTCTGTGGGAAAAATTCAAGAGGAATAGCTGATGAACAGCAGACGAGGGAAATCAAGCAAGCAAGCAAGCAGGCTTCACTCAGAGCCATTATCACTGAGGGGAGAGGGAGTCAGATTAAATCTCCTCTAATTAGAGAGGCATTTAAAGGAAAGCTACTGGGTCTTTAGGGAAATGAAGTGATGGAAAATATATAACCCAGCTTGTTTTCCACGGACTGGATTTACTGATAGCAGGAATACCTCAAGGTACAGCACCTTCTCAGGGTATCTTTGAGGAAAGACCCAAGGAGCCAGCACTGGTTTGGGCACAGAAAGGGGCTGGAACTTCATTCTTGTGGAAACACTGCTTTGAGGGCTGTGAAGAAGTAAAGAACTGCAGGGTTGAGCTGGATGTGATTTCCAGAATGATGCCACAACACATTAGTTGCATGATGCAAAACAAAGATAGCACATGGGGTAATAGAAAAACTTAACTATGTGCTCACATCATCTTGAGAACTGATTTTTTGGGCTTTAAATAAAAAGAAGACTAAGGAAAAAATAATATAAACCCATTTTTCAGGTACAGTAAGAATGACACAAAATTGATATGATGTGGTAGCAATTTGATAATTTTTCAGACATAATAATACCTGTGAAAACATTTTCCATAATTGCAGGGTCCCATGGGATGCAGAAAGGATGCAAAGAGGGTTTCAAAGCAGTGGAACAACCTAATGAATAACCTACATGTCTTTATCGTGTTCAAATGGAGAATTTTTCATTGAACAGAGCTTCTTTTTTTAACCAATGAATTGCTTAGAGATGATAGTGAGTCAAAAGTAAAACTTAAGAGATTCTTAAAACTTCAGTGCACAAAGGTATTAGGACCAGATGGCAATTCTAAAGATGTCTCGAGAGTAGTGCATGAAACAGATGCACCCTGTTGTACAACAGTCACCTCATTACATTTAAAATAAAATTGTGGCAAATTTTCAGAACTGCCTAAAGGAATCAAGTCCTCTTTCCAAAAACACAGGTTTCTACTTGTTTAAATATGAAAAAACATCCTTTAGGTTAAGTTACTTCATGCTTTGTTTAATTTGAAATTACAAAGCCCAGTGATATAATATAACCTCTCTACAGCTGAACATACAAGGTTAATTCAG